GGGGGGAGTTGTAATAAGACTCTTCCATCACCAAGAACTGGCAAAACAATATAGGCAAATCCCTTCCTTTAAAACTAGACACCCATGGGCCCTCAACTGAGACTTTTTTTTCAGGGAAAAACAAAATAGAAATTAAGCTTTTCTTTTCCTCCAAATCGTAACTTCGCCTCACCCAGACCTCCCAACTGGTTCCTCAGACTGGCACAAGGTGGAGCAATCACTGAAATCCGTTAACATTACGGTTCAAAAACTTGAGAAAATAAAGGACATAAATAATGCTAATCTGACAGAGGAAAGCACCCACAGCCGCCGCCGCCGCCACTACTAACTAGCCTGTGAGGAAGGGCAGGCAGACATCCCTGAAGGGTAAGAAGCCAAACCCCCGAGAAAGGCTAGGGGCAGCCTGAGTAAACTACGCCGAATAGCTCAGGATTCACCTTCTTTGTTGCTCATGTCGTCCAGGCCTTGGTGGGATGAGCTGACAATGAAAGCCTGGAGCGAACTGGGAACGGAAGAAGCCGATCTACGGTGACGAACCAAATCCCGGGAGGAGAGCGCAGCGAACGGAAACTGCAGCCGACTGACGTCGCCCGACTACTCGGAAAAGCGCCGCCGCAGCCCAAGCCCCGCCCCCCGTCGCCGCTCACACGCACTTCCGGCCTCCGCTCCGCCTCCGCTCGTTGAGGCTGGCTTCGTCCCAGCGTGCCCTCGAGTCACGAGGGTCCTCGAGCCTCGTGTCTTCACGGCTGTCCGATGCTGTGCCTGAAGACAGAGACTCTAACTACACTGCAGACGGCAAACGCTATTAAAATGACGGCGACGCGGCCCGCATAAATGAGATTTGTGTGACAGTGTAAAAGCGGTGAGGAATGTGCGTGACTGCTTTTCTCTCAAAACCCCTGTAGAACGCCTTAACTTTCCTTCAGGGTAAGCCCCGCCTCTAGCGCGGGGCGACACGGGAGTTGTGGTTCGCGCGGAGGAACCTGCCTGCCGCGCGTGGTGATTGGAATGATGATTTAGAATAGATTCCTCCAGGTCTTACTGAAGAGGTCTTCGACCAAAGGGATCTTACCGGCCTAAGTTTGTTTCTAGTTTTGCTTTTAATTTTCCATTTCTGAGGTGACGACAGGAGCTTTAAGTGATGCAAATTATAAGTAAATTATTTTCTCTGCTAAAATAAATACCCACTTTCTCCCCCTGCCTTATACATCTTCATCCTCTACCCTCCTTTGTCTGAGACTTAACAATTCCTGTGTTTAAAAAAAAATGTTATAATAAGAATAATATATAACAAGCATTTACATTTTAACCTTTTCAAGTGTAGGATTCAGTAACATTAATTATAATCACAACTATTTCATCCCTGTGCACTGAAACTTACCAACCCCACTGTCATCGTGTCCATTTTGCCTCTTAGCGATTCTATAGGAACAGATGGATCTGTAAATCTTTACTGGAGTAGAGAGCCTCATGTTTCTCCGGTAGAACAGTTGGTGATTTCAAACTGCTAAACCTTCAGTTAGCAGCCCAATGCTTAACCACTAAGCCACAGAAACAGTGGTCTTCAAATAATTCTATTCTCTACTTTCCCCAGTGCCTAATTAAGCTTTCCTTTCTATACATTTATCTATTTTCTCACCATCCTCCAACCATACCCTACAGCAGAAAAAGGTTAATAGTAATTATAAGTGCGCAACACTAAATTGTGAGCATTTTATTATAGTTGTTAGGTGCCATCAGTGGGTTCCTACTCAAAGCAACCCTGTATACAAGCATCATTCTCATAATTGCTAAATTTGAGCCCATTGTTTCAGCCACTTGTGTCAACCATGTCATTGAAGGTCCTCTCCTTTTTTGCTGGTGTCCTTTTCGAGTCCCTCCTGATAACATGTCTGAGGTACGTGATACAAAGTCTTGCCATTCTCGGCAACATTCAGGCTGTACATCTTCCAAGGCAATTATGTTTCTTTGTCTGGCAGTTCATGGTGTATTCAGTATTTGAGATAGTTAAAGTGTATTGTGC